TATATTTCTAACATAACTTACTACTTCTTGGGGAGAGAAATTCATTTGAGGAGCCGTTTATAATATTTGTCCCTTTTCTTTGTAAAACGTAATTCTAACTGAGTATGGAGTGTTGAATGCAGGAGATGTATCTCTTCACTACTGGCCAAAGGGAAGTAAGTATAACTATAATTAAGTAAATTCAGGCAGCGAAATGAATACTAAAAAAGAAAGAAACCCCCAGGGTCCGTGTGTATGATTATGTATACAGACAATGGGGGCTGGCAATCTGTTCCATACTCCTGTTGGGACAATGTATGGTTTTAAGAGGTCAAAATGAGTAACAATAAAAAAAGGAAAAGGAACACAAACGTGAAACTTCCTTTGTCTGAATAATGCAAAATCCTACTACACTATGTATGGGGTGGTGCACGTGGTTATCTTTTTTTTCACGTCTCGTCATTTTGTTTGGATTGTCCTTGTGTATTGACAAAATGATCTATTTTGTCCTCTGTACTTAAAAAGTTATATATGTTTCCCCTAAATCTCTTGTATACAAACAATAAACGCCTGTCGTTGTATAATATTGTGAATCGATTGATTGAGTTTAACATATAAATGGTGCTAGAGGTAAGTCCTGATTTTGGTTTGTTTCTTTGACAGTTGACTTTTTATCTCCTGAGCACAGTTTTAAGGTGGGTCCGGATTGAGGAGCCCTGGGTTCTCTCCTTATACAGAACAGGCCGTCATCGGAGGCATTTTGTCTGTTCTTTCGTTTATTATTTGCAAAAAAAAAAATGTGTTTTGATCACTTTTAATGAAGATAAGGTAACAAATTAATTTGTTCCATAATTTCCTAAAGCATCTAAACCAGTGAAGGAGCCTCGTCTGCCAGTATCTACCCAATTTTGTAAAGTCTTTCAAATCCTAGTTAATGTACTTGGCAGAATGTGAACACCCCAACTGGATGCAAGCTATCATTTTCAACTAATTCAAAATCGATACTCTAATGACATTTATCCTTCTTTCATTCGTCTTTCATTCTTGTCAATTATTGCAGGTTCTTTTTCAAACACAATGTACACTGTATACCCTTGCATGTAAATAATAGGCTTCTTGGTCAAAACTTTCCCCAATCAATTAATACATTATACATGAAACACATTTGTTTTCACTTTAGTTTATGTTTTCGTCCATGCTTTTATGCTTTTTTCTGTACTCACTAAGAATCAAACAAATTAACTCCCAGATATAGGAATACTTATTCGAAATTTAATATTAAAATTTTCATTTAAAAAAAATGTTTTATATTGTTTACAGCGCATTAAGTATTTATAACCACGTCATTTTCAAATTTCAGTCTATTTCTTGATTTCCAAATATACCATTTTGTTGTAAGTATCATTAAATTGATAACTAGGTTTACATTTATGTTTCGGTTTAACATCCGAACATTATATTTGTTTCGGAAAGTTCATAAACCAGTTGTGATGGAATGATACTGTCAATATCTTTGTGTATATATGGTATAATTAATTTCCATATTCCTTTAGTGAAGTTGCATCTATAAAACAAACGTTATTGTGTCTCGAAGTCGTAATGACATAAGTAACATTTTCCATTTGAAAGTTGCATCTTCATTAGCTTAAAAGTAGTTGAAACTATGTTGTGTAGATTTGCATTGGAAATCTATACATTTTCTTTGAGCAATAAGATGAGCGTACTCTTTTCAATATGCTTCCCAATTGCATATTTCATTTCCATAAAGTGTTTCCCAATCTTTGTACGCGTTTGGTTGGTATTCTTTATCTAGTATTATCTCCATCACTAACATATTTTTGAAGTTTGCGAGATCCTTTTTTCTTATTGATGTAGTTTTTGTAGTAGTGCTACTGATGAAATAAAGCTATTGTTAGTTTCATCCCAAATCTCTTATATTTAACAATGCCTGATTTCATCCATTTCCTGACAAATAGTGGGTTCCCTTTAAAAATAATGCTATTACATACTAGGATTTGATTTTCTATTTCTACTTTTTCAGATGCCTTTGATATGCTCTTTAATACATATTGCCAATCATATAGCTATAACTTATAGAAATCTGGTATTCTACTTAAATCTAGTGATTTTGTGCTGCTACATTTGCAGGAGAAAAAAATCATACCAAATTTTTCATCATGCTTTTGCATTGTATCTAATATCTGCCCAGAGCATGCCAGGTTAGTTGCTCTGTGTTGATTAGTTTATACATGTTTTAATACTTTGTTGCCTACATAGCATATCCCTATCAGTCATGTTAGGACCGCCTTCAGATTTGTCTGATAGCATGTTTCTTTGGATACTTTGTTTACATTGCTTTTCCAAAGAAAGAAGTAAACTAATTTGTTATTAACTGTTTGTGTTTATTTGGTATTGATATTTCAGCTGTCTCAAATGTTAGTGTAGATAGTATAAAGGTTTTAATAAGTATTTTTTCCTTGCAAAGAATGGTTGCGTTTTCCCCATAAAGCAATCAGTGGTTTTATTCTATGTATTTTAGTTTCCCATAGTGAGTCTTGATCAGTACTGTAACCATGAGGTATTCCTAAGGTTTTTTTTGTACCCATATTAAATTTGGTGTCTTTATTTCCAAATACCTATTACATACCTTTTGTTTTCTGGTGATTAAGTTTTGCTCCAGATGGTTTTTTTATACTTGCTAAGGGTTTCAAAAAAATCAGTTATACTGTTTTCTGTGCCTGCAAATAATTTGAAAAATCTTTAAAAACATGCTTATTTTAGCTTCAATGTTATCATAATTTGGACATGGAATATAATAATGCCAGATAAATTTTTATTTGAACGTGCATAATATAGATCAGAGGGGTGAGCGGACTGCCCTGTTTTACAGAACGACTGACTTTATAAATTGTGATAGAAACCTAATTGTTAGTAATTGACTGTGTGAGTTAATGTATGTCATTTAAATCCATTGAATAAGCTGATCTCCGATACCAAACTTTTCAAGCAAATGCGTACCCATTTTCATTCCTCTCGATCAAAAGCTTTTTGCTGGTCTATACAAATTGTCCCACCCCATTCTTTCTAGGTTCGAGTATGCTTTGATATCCTTCATAAGTCGTATACTTTCTTCAATATTTCATCTTTTAACAACGCCTTTTTGGTCTGGATGTATAATGTGTGGTGAAAAAGTTTTAACTCTCTCCACTATTATTTTTGTAATGATCTTATAGACATTGTTTAGTAGGATAATTGAAAGCCAATTTGTTTTTTCCTCGCATTCTCCTCGTTTGTGCATCAAATGTATATAAAACAATGATGCCTCTGTTCTGGCTATATATGTTAATTCATTTGTTTGAAATATATATGTTATCTCTTCTGTTGGTTCATTTGTATCAGGTACCAGTACTTTTTGTAGAGCTCTGAAGAATACAATCGGCACCTGGTGCTTTGTTACTTTTCAATTGCAACTTTTAGTTCTTTTTCTGCAGGTAGTTGATCACCATTTCTTTCTGAATATCATTCAACATTATAACATTTTCTAATAGTCCATTTGCTTCTAATTCGTTTATCCCCTCTGTCGTAAATAATTAATTGTAAAAGCCTATCTGTGCCTTTAATATATCTTCAATTTTATATTTATACATGTATATTCCATCCTTACTTATAATGGGCGTCCATGTTTTATTTTTCCCTCCAGATTTTTCAAGCCCGAATATAACACTTCCAGTTTTGTTTTCAATGTTATTTAATCTGTTTTATTCTGAAACGTTTTGGTCTGGCGCTCTTTTTCCAACCTTTTATTTGTTTTTCACTTGTATATAATATTTTCCTCGTTGAGTTGCAGATATCTTTAATTTCAACTTTCGTAAGTCCTGATCTTAATCTAACTGATTACGTAGATACTATTAGTTACACGGATTTATTACCCCTTTGAGTCTTTTATGATAAAAACAAAGAAAAAGGCACAGTACTTCATTTTGTTTCGTTTTATCAAATTCCTTGAACTGTTCTTCCTGATTCTTTTCTTTTAAATACGTCCTCATCATGTTTGCCGCTCGTCTGTTCGACTTTTGTGTGTTTTGTGGCACATCGTTAGCCCTTTTTGCGAAGCGAAACGTTTGCCATTTTGTAAACAGCGAAGCAGACGGCGAATACGAGTTGTCTGCCGTTGCCCGGCCGCAAGATATAAAGACCCGTGACCCGTATACCCCCTGTAAAAGCACGTGATTCCAACGTATTACTGATGAGAATCACGTGACAGGACCGTATACCCCCTGAGATTTACGAATGCGGTTTGGTACACTTTAGTTTTTAACCAATCAGATTCCTTGATCTCTCAAAGGGGTTATAAAGCATAATGACAAATTATTATCATATATAAATAAACATACAGGTCAGCATCCCCTTACCCTCACAGCCTTAACAGTGATTTATATTGGACATAAAATGCATGATAATAACTTTTAGCAATGGTGGGCTTGACAACAACAAAATCGTGCTCCCGAAAATACCGAAACATACAAAAGCTCTAAAATGATATCATTTATTTTAAATGTCATCTCGGTTTCTTCAAAACATTGATCTTTAATTCAACAGTGTAATTTGTACGTTTTGTATTGACTATAAGTATATGGTCCCTGTTCACTAACAAAGTGGTATTTAGTGCTCCTGTGTGTTAACAATGTGGTATATTATATTCTTTTTGTCCTTGTGTCGTGATAATGTGATATACAATCGACTGTCTGGTACAGTATTGTATCCTTGTGTCGTGTTAATGTGATATACAATCGACTTTCTAGTACAGTATTGTATCCTTGTGTCGTGATAATGTGATATACAATCAACTGTCTAGTACAGTATTGTATCCTTGTGTCGTGATAATGTGATATACAATCGACTGTCTAGTAAAGTATTGTATCCTTGTGTATTCAAAAAATAATATATATATTGTCCACGTGTATTAAATACGAAGTGCATTTTTCTGTTTTAATTTATTCTAATACCTGGTAATTTTACAGGTATCGTCCTTACGACAGACCTAGACGCCATGTTCCACATGAACAACGCCAGGTATTTGCGTGAATGTGATCTGGCACAAACGAAGTTATGGTTGGAAAGTCATGTGGTCGAGACGATAGGTCAAAGGTTTCAGGTCACAAATGCTGCCTCCAACATCCGCTTCAGAAGGTCACTGGAGTTTCTCACACGATATCAAATTATCTCTCGGGTAAACATTTTTCTTACGACACCATAATGCTTCATAGATTATTAAATCGGTAGATGTACAAACATCATTGTAGTTTTAGTTTGTTGGGATTTTTTGTGCTTATGAATTGTATCATTGGTACAATTGAATTTGGCACATGAACCAAAGACGATATATAACAGAGATTGGCATCTCACGCAGATATCGCAAAAACACGCATGATCATATTGTTCAGGCAGCGAGAATTAGAAAAACAATTATGAATTACAATTAATTATGTGTACTATAACTCACCTAGCCTTCAATTCGTTTATTCACTAGGTTTTCAATTGACAATTGAAGATCCATTACCATGGCTGTTTTTATAGTTCTTGAGAAACTGGATATGTAATGTGGTATCAGCTTAAACTCTACTATTTCATTTCAGTTTCTCCACTGGGACGAGAAGGCTTTTTATATTGAGCAACAGTTCGTTCGTCTGTCTGACGGGTTTGTGTGTGCGGTGAACATATGTAAGCAGGCTACTATAGGATGTACTCCCAGCAGCATGATCAAACGTGTTGACGAACACCTAATCTCGCCTCCTATGACTGAAGAGCTTAGGGCACTATTTGCTACCTGGAAACTCTCGAGTGAACGTCTGAGAAAGTCGTCATGATGCCATGGAAATTAGTTATATATTTTCTTTGAAAATAGTGGAGATCAGTTTTTCCTCATGATTCCTATCCCCTTAAAATGCCTGATAATTATAGTTTACGCTTGAAATACGATTGATATTTTGTAAAATTTCATAATAAACTGACCGACCAACTTATTTTGAAAATTACCATCCAGAACAAATTCTCGTGATTTTCGTGTGACGTCATAATTAACTGATTAACTGCAAAGTTGTTTGACACGAAATCGAACACACCAGAATTGGTTTTACCCAATTCGAGAAGGCATAGTTGGTTTACATCAAAACAGGTGACGTGTAATTGCTAAATTTGAATTAAAGAAATCAATCATTGAAACATTCGAATCGTCGATAATACAGCAGGTTCCGGTTATTGGTTTTGTGTTCTCAATAAAATATCTCAAAACCCCGAATTATACATCCCACCTCAAAGGGTTTTTATACGAGGATTTACTTAATAAAAATCTTCATTTATAGGGCTCTGCTCTTGATCTGTGGCTTTTCGATATCGAGTGCTCAATTACAAAAAATACAGTTAAAACATATTCTGAACTGTTGCAATACCTTATGATATAAAAGAATCCCAGTGATATATATATGTACGCTTTTATAGTTTTGCTATCAGTTTTACCATAAACTTAAAATATCACATGTGATTTAGTCATGCCGGTTTTTTTTCTTGTCAATGTTACCTTTGGCACGCATATTTACACAACGTAAACTACAGATTACGTCTATGTCAAAAGTGTATGACGCCATCATCTGTTTAGTCATTGTGACACTTGACACCCGCTTAGTAAATATCGACAACAATTAATAAGGAAATACTCTTTAATACACTCTTCATCTTGAGACACCACAGACTCCATGAAAGCTAGGTCCACGTCCCAAGGTTGGGTACTTTGTGGTCCTCTGTACGTAAATGATCATTACGGGGGTCGGGGCCAACCTGTTTCTGTCTCGTATATTCCGGAGGGCGGTGGTTCAGGGTCAGGACGAGTAAAATCTTACGGGTATACTTTTCTGTGTATCCATGGAGTAGTTCAAGGAAGTCTCGGAGGTGCGACTGATTTTATCCAAGAAATATAGCAAGTTGGTTCCTAGGGTACCAGAAGTGCAACGTCTTCGTCTTCATTCCAAATCCATTAAGATGCCGGAAATGTCAGAAGTACGGTCATCATGAAAAACGATGAAGGCAGAAGACCGTTTCCAGTATTGTGGTTCGTGAGGGTCATCAGCACCAGACTGACTGTGCTATTGCCGACATGCATTGTGTGAATTGTGAGGGAAAGCATGCTGCTTCGTCTCGAGACTGTCCTGCCCAAAGTAGCGAAAGAGAGATATTTCAGCTTTGAAGTATACCCGGAATGTCTTCTTTCCTGAGGCTAGGAGGATAGTGAGAGTACAGCCATAGCTGCATCTCACTAAGTCCGGTCGCCGGTTGACAATGTCACGGTTTTGCCGTACCGATTCAAATTACTGTAAGCTTAAAATTTGGTGGGCAAAGGCTCGGCTATCAATGAAAAACGACAAAAGAAGCAGCTGGAGAGAATATGAATCTAGAATATATCTTCAAAAACATTCTCCAGTTTAATGGGAAATGATTCTGAGGCTAAATGGAAACAACAACATTAGCCTGTGTCATTAATAAAACCATTTTCTTTGAGGGCAAACGAAAACGGCTACAAAATGCACCTCTATCATCAACAAAAAGCTTACAGTCACCTAAATCTTGCACTTAATGGCATTATAATCCCAGTTGTTAAGCAAAGCAACTTTCATTGACTATTATTTGAATCGAAACTCTCCTTTATTCCACATGTAAGGCATCCGAAAGATAAGTGTCTGAGTCGATAAACAATCTACAAGTCATCTCACATACTAATTGAGGTGCATACCGTTAAAGCCTGTTGCGACTTTATAGATCACTCTTCCGATAAAACCTCAGTTATCGTTCAACGGTATACGGTTCGGCAAGCAGTTCCTATGTGCAGATGTTGGATCCAATCCATAACCAAGGGCTGCGTCTAACGCTTGTAGCTTTTTGAACGACGCCAGTGAAAAGCCTTTACGCAGAAGCGAATGAACCAGTTCTTTATGACTGAAGGAAAAGACTAGCTTCACAGTTTGCTGCTAAACTCAAATCAAAGCAAAGCAATTCTGCCTTTGACCAATTCGAAATACCTACACATCTTCGCGCAAAATCCAACATTTGGTATCTGCATTTCCAAATTCCTGTAGGAGATCAGCATACATTTTAACAACATAGATTTATACAACGTACCGGATGCTCGACCATGGACTATGCAAACACCTGATGTTAATTTTACAATGCTTGAGCGGTCAAAATCTAGTGCACTGCCCGAAGAACACCAAGCCTCCATTCGTTAGTGCATTTCGAGGACCCCTTCTGATACATAGCTTTACACTGATGTTTCTAAAGATGACAAAATAGTAGCAGCAGCTTGCTGCTCTGTTCACTATTCCAATTCAATGCGCAGCACGTTCCATCGGTTTGGCCCTTGACTATATCGTTGAAAAAGCAATCGTCTATTCTGATTCTGTATTGGTCTTTTAAATTCTGCAGTTACATGATCCGATAACACTCTTACACAAAACCTCTCTATTCGCTAATCTTGTATCTCAAATAAATACAAAACAATTCTGCTATAGATTCCGAGCCACGTCGGAATAATAAGTTACGAAAATGCTGACAGTAGGTAAAATACATCTAACTCTCAGCAAGCCAATACCAAAATGCCACATACAGATTTCAATCATTATACAATCGGTCATTCAAAGGGAATGACATCAACGATGGTCTCTCGAAACCACGAGCAAACTTTTTAAAGTGCAATCAAACCTTTAACCTTGTCTGCCCAGTCGGAGAAACCGCAGAGAGGAGGTCGTCCATTGTCGGCTCCGCACTGGTCATACTCATCTCACTCGTGCTTATCTGCTGTATAGGGCAGATCAACCTACATGCCACGCACGTGACTCTCCATTAACAGTGGAGCACAATTTGACAAAATGTTCAGATTTTAGATATTTTCGTGATAAATACTTCAATGTCACGGACATGAAAACCCTTTTAACTTCCGTAGACTGTAAGGAATTATTCAACAATAAATACAAGACATCGGTCTGTTTTATAAAATTTCATTAACTTACATGACTCTTTTTACGGCATTTATACGTATCTCTTTCCATTTTAAATCTTTACACAATGATTTCAAATGAAATATTCTTGCCCTTAAAGACCATTGTTTTCAAAGTGCCATTAAAATCAAACAAACAACAACAAATAAACAAACATATATCAATTGATAGCACCACAATATTATAACATATCATTTAACTACATGATAACAGCGATAAAATGTTATGAAATAAGAAAAAATAAAATAAAAAAGATAGTATTGTTGTTGTTTTTTATAAATCTGAGCATTTCCTGTATGGCCCTGTCCATTCTCGCCCTTGTATATGGATAAAGAAACCATGTGTAAATTTATTCCGAATGGTGCTCTATTGCCATGGTAATACCTTTTAAAGTTATCTTTGAAACCTTCGTCGGTATTATTAGGTCGTTTGAAGCAGATATCGGTATATACACAATCGTTCTTATTTCCCCATAAAACATGGTTCACCGGAATCTCCCAAAATCCCTTATGTTTTTGTTTTGGGCATATATTTGAAAATTTGCGACCGAAATCCAATGTTAATGGCCACAAATAGCTAGCATTCACGTGAAGAAATGGTTTTGTTAGCGAAATGTCGTATGTGTTATCGAGGGTTTGGAGTGCGGTTACCTGGCCATCACCTGATGTAAATAAACCAGGACTCCTCTTAGTGACACCAACCAATTTAGCGATGTTGTCTCGTTGGTCACGTGCATCTTGCATAACCTTTGTGCCTGTATCAATGGCGGTAAGAGACACACTGTCAGCTCAAACCCGCATTCGTAGTACATCTTTGCTATGTCGTAGTGTGTTCTGATGTAATATGTATAACGTGGCTCCGATCGGACAGCCGTTCGGGTTGGCACGGCTACGTCTGAAAAGAACATTGTAGTGCTTAGAACCTTCAGGAGTCACTGCGTCATCGAATCCAAAATACACCATTTGAGGAATGTCCCGTCGGTCCATGGGGTGTTTTAATGTACTACAGAATCCGTCCGGTAGGTGGCAGTTGATACATTGTTCACATGTCGACTGATCAGTTACAAGATAAAAATGTGGAAACAAAACAGGGACCGCAGGATTTTTGTGAGCTCAATCATAATTTTGTATGTGATATTATGAGCGCAGTTGATCTCGTTGTTCATTTAGGAGGACAGCTTCTGGTTGTCGACACCATTTGTCTGTCGCTATCAGCAATACGCATGTCTCTGTTGTCAATCCTCACTCTAGCTGCCATCCCCAATTTTCTATCTGTCGGAATCACGCTTTGGTAGATATCAAAGAGAAGTAAAACACGTGTACTTTTACAGCAGAACTTAGATACCGATTAGTATTTTGATTGTTAAATATAAGATAATTCATTTTCTTATATTGAGATAAAAAATGTTTTGGTCAGGTATTATGTCAAATATCGACAAGTTAGTCAATGAAACATCTTATTCTATCTAGCACTGTTGATATAGGAGGCACTCAGTAATTGTAGTTTTGTCATTGTAGATTTTCGTGAGAAGTTGATTCAGTAAACTCAATAAAAATATATCAAGCTCAATATAAATTTCACAACATAGCCGATTTTTTCGAAATTGCCATTTCAACAGAGCCCAATTTAGACTTATTCTACGTAAATATGGAGTTTTTTCCAGAACGTATTATTGTTAACTTATAACAGTACATACGTATTTTGATAATGCTATAGATATTCAACTGTGACAATTCAAATATCTAATTCTGAATGACATTGTTTATAATGTTTTTGGGACTGATTCCGTGAATGCATACATTTTTAATTTATCTGTTGGGCACCTTGTTTTGATAGGGGTTATAGTCTTTTTCTTAAATAGTGTCTGAGTGACATCTACCTGTAAAAATCACCTGTTGGAAATTAAGCACATATGCTTATATAAATATTCTTGTATATTTTTTTGACTTTCTAATTTAAATAAATATTTTTTTTTTTTTTTTTTTACTTTCTAATTTCCTTAAATTTTATATTTTTGATAATGTTAACAAGCTAATCCATATAGTATTTAATATAATATTAATTGTCATGATCTTTCAATAACAGATGAATAAATTAATCATAAAGCACTATTAGTCAAACTTTTACAACACCCTAATTGATATATATATCTTAGTCATTTACTGGAGAAACCAAATATTTATCAGGACCTTACAAGTGTATAAGTGATAATATAATTTAAAAAAAAAGTATTATGGGTTGGGTGGGTTTTTTTGAAAATGAAAACTTCATAGTAAGCAGATTAAAGTGAAACATGTATGTTTATACATCTGGCAGTCCAGTGACAGATTTTGGGCCTTAAAGCAAAAATTATATCAAATAAAAAAACTATATCAGTTAAATTTAAAAACGGTAATACAGACAACGCAACAATTACTGAAATAAAAAGGATTCATAAATATCCTTTGTATGTGTGTATTTGGACTGGGGGTTTATCTATTCAACTCTCATAAAGGTCAATCTATGCAGGTGCCGCTTCAATCTTCTCCATCTTGTATGAGATCAAAATCTCTTCATGGAACTAGTCGCTTTTCCATGTCTTTAATTTATGAATTTTCTTTTCTTATAGTTTCTTTTCATATTATCAGATTATTTCTTTCATTTCAAGTATTTTCTTTCATTTTCAGTTTCCCTTTTCTTTTATTTTCGGCATTTTATAAATTACTCTTCAGGCTTTTAACTTTCCAAAAAAAATCGTTCATTTGTGTTTAACAAGAGCTAAACATTTCAGCGTTCGTCATATATGTATTTTTCCCTCATGATATTTTTTTCCCCCTTAGGTTTTTAACTAAATATACAGAGTTAAATAAATTTATATCCTTACTTTGAAAGCAAAATCAGATAGTAAAAGAATGGTTAGGGACTAAATATTTATCACAGATACAGCAATATTACACTGTTATTTCAAACATTTTTATTTTTTTTTTATTTTTCTTCTTCTTCAAAATATACGGAGACACTTTTCAGTGTTTTGAAGATGTTACATTTTTATGATTTGACCAAAAATATTGAAGCAAACATTATTTAAGAAAGCGTTATTCTCACTTTTATCTAATTTGCATCAGCATAAGGCAGATGACAGTATTGTACCTCATGTAAATAATTTCTTTTATAATTCATAATTCTCTATATTAGTAAGTTGGAGTTTATTTTTCCCCTATTAATATGTGAGCTCCTTTATGCAACTTACATATTTAATGTCTTAAGAGTATTAAAAAGTAATATTTTCCCAATACACAGAAAAAATGTATATCACTGTTCTATTGAATTCGATTGTAAATAATATATTGACATTAAGTATGGATTGATCGAATAAAAATATTGAACTGATGATGATGATATCATTCTTTGGAACCTTATGCAAGTTAAATAAAAATCATAACTATTTACCTGTAAAATCACAAGTAGATATACAGGTAAAATATCTCAGGTAAATATAGTACATATATGATACAAAATATAATTACCATCCCTTTGATGTTTCTACCTATTGTCCTAAAGATGTATGCGTTCAGGGAACATCCTGTTTTTGGACAATTCGTCAACTTATCATCGCAACTATTAAATCGAGCTTTTTGATTTTACCTATAATTTATTTATTTTAAAAACAATAGATATATCTCATATAATCCAAGTAATGACATACCTCTCTTACATTTAAAGACATCTTTATTAAGAGATATCCTGAATTCATCTGAAGCTGTCTTTAATTCATTGAATTTATATGCAACGAAAAGCAGCTGTTTAGCAATTTTGCAACATTAAAATATAGCCTTATTAAGCAACTTAATTTTCTTGGCAACGTAAGTGAGAAGCGAGACATTTTTGCAACGCAAATTTTATATCGTTGCTGTTTCAATTATTTAATAATTTGTCTATGTCATGCTAAATTTAGCCTTTTAAACTCAAAAATGCCATATTGCAATGTTGCGAGTACAAAAAATTGTGATTAACGGCTGTTTATCGTTGAAGGTCTTATTCCGTAAATAGGTATTCTTATTAACTGTTCTGCACTAAAGACAATCCGATTTTGTATCTATACAACATTTTTTAAGTGCATTGAATCCGGCTTTTAAAAGAGGATTACATCGTCAACTCTCTTACTTCATTTACAGGAGATATTTGTCAATATTTACCGACAGTTTTCACATTTGAATTAATTATAAGTAATTGACTGAAGCGCCTCCTGTTCATATTCGTGCAAAAATATCTCGGAGCAAAACCCTCACATAGCTGCCACCTTCAAAATGTGAGAAATAAACAAATTTATAAATGTTTTTGTGCTGTGTGTTTTCAGAAGATCACCAGCAGCAGCAGCAGATACTTCTGCATGAAATTTGATCTTTTTGTTTCGTTTCCGAATTGTCTTTTTTATTGTAAATGTCTACTCTATTCGTTATTTAATTTGTTAAGCTGAACAATTTAAATTAGAAACATTTAACAGTATCGGACTAAGCAGTTTTTATTTCAGACATGCTTGTTTGTTACCATCAACAGTGGAAGTAGAACCTTGATCTATTGACATTTTGAGGTGTACACGTATTCCAGTGCCAAAAGTAAAGAAACGTTTAAATTGAAAATTAAGTGAAAATGGAATTAAACAATTCTGTGCAATATCCTAACCGCATTATATCAGAACGCGTCCATTTCTCATTATTAATACGTCTGCATTTTAAGCTCTTTGCACAGACGTCTTGTACAAACCACCCTGTATTTATTTATTCATGTGCACATTGAGATGATTAGTTTCTTTTTTAATGTATAATGATGTTTGTTAGCCTTTTTTTGTTTAACAATCATAACTAATACTATTATCCATATGATGTAAAGCGCTTTAGAGTAATGTTACAAATGATATAGGGCGCTATATAAATGTTGTATATTATTATTATTTCTTATTATTATTAATAATAGGGATAATGGCTAATTTTGTAAATGGACGTAGACGATAGAGATCATCATTATTTTCAATACCTCTGTTACGAGTCGAGTTTCTGTCTACTCATTATTTCATGTATTGATTAAATTAAAGATATGGTCCATTACGCCTGCAATATACTTATATGAATGATTGTACATAGTGTCGCCCTAAGGAACCGTTGTCGACAGTAGAAAACATTGGTATCTAACGAAAGCATTTACGACCGAGGAAATCATAACAGAACAAAGAAAGCAATGGCACCTGAGGAGATGGTCAAGCAATGTCACCTGAGGAGATGGTCAAGCAATGCATTAAGTTAATGAAATTATCGATAGTTTCACACTTTCAGCGTGGAAAGCACTCATAAACCACTTTGCACATTATATTGTTTTCTTCTCCTTTTTTCAAACTTTATAACATAGCATATTCTAAAGCTAATTCAGTAAAAGCAAACCTTAGTCGATATGCTCTCCGATCCTTGAATCACGGTGTGAAAGCGTGGCGTAGTTAATTTTACATGTCTCATTAGTATGTCACCCTTGCCTGTTGATATTTTACATGTCTCATTATTATGTCACTCTTGCCTGTTGATATTTTACATGTCTCATTATTATGTCACCCTTACCTGTTGATATTTTACAATATCGCCTGGTAATGTCACACTCCCTTGGCAATATTCATGCTACCTCATTGTAATGTCACCCTCACGCGCATTTGGCGACATTTTACATTGACTAATTGTAATGTCACGCTCAAGTGGCGACATTTTACATTGCCTTATTGTAATGTCACGCTCAATTGGTAACATTTTACACTGTCTAATTGTGATGTCACGCTCAATTGGCGAGATTTTACATTGCCTTATTGGAATGTCATGCTCAATTGGTAAAATTTGACATTGCCTAATTAAAATGTCACACTAAATTGGTGACGTTTTACGTTGCCCTCTTGCCTTGTACCCTTGTACGGCAATATTTAACACTGCCTAATGATTATAACTTTAACCTCAGCTCTATTTGTCTTTGTACTAATAGTAGGTAACAGCGATTTTACATCGTTTTCTCTCTGTCAAGCACATCATAAAGTTTAACAGCATCGGCATTTCAATAAAAAAGTAAAAACTTTAAAAAGTGACATTTTTTATTTATTTTATATAAGATCGATTAACAAAACTCTATATTCATCTGCATGGTTTGATAACTTAAAACGGCAATGGTTTAAAATGAAAAATAAAATGAAACTAAATCGTGAAACATGTATATATAGCATGGTAGTAAAACATTATTACGTTGGTACATTTTGTGCGATACTGATTCATTTACAATCACATGTAGATATCTTCTTGCGTGAGGGGAATTTCCTCATATAACGGCCGAGAGTGGCGCTTAAATAGACTGGGATAAACTCTCTCAACTACAATTGAAAGTGTATACAAGATAGCAACACTTGAAACTAGTATAAGAATATCTATCAAGGCCTTCTCCCCAAACGTCAGTTCATTAGAAGGTCCCGTCTTCGCTTTCTCTCGATCCTTTCCCATTACACCGGAAGTACACCAAGGTTCAAAAGCCCGGATGCCAGAGAGTTTGGTAGGACGTCTCATCCATTCAACAATTTGTTTAATATCAACGATATAAACACCATCGTTATTCAATATGTCCACAATAAACCTCTCCAAAGGTTCTTTATGTAGGCTAAGGAAATCAGTGGAATGGATGTTAATTCCAAACGGAGATCTATTGCCGTAGTAGTGACTTTTGAAATTGTCCATCAAATATTTGAAAATTTCGTTAGAATTCGATAATTTCTCCTGGCAACTATCAGCGTAGGTACACGGTTCCCCGTCAAGTATCATAGAGTTTACAGGAATCTCCCAAAAGCCATGATATTGATCGTTGGGGCACCGAGAGGCACAGGTTGATTTGTAGGGCCACCCATAATCTAATGTAAACGGCCAGGCATTACTATCATTTATAGAACTTTTCGTATATGTCATAGAACTGTCGTAGCGGTACCTTGATTTTTGCAAAGCGAGGAACTGCATATCCCCCATCGCCATTAAAGAAGGGCTCCTCCAGCCTGCTATATCTCCTAGAGGTATTCCAACGTGTTCAGACAGCATGTTTTTATGTTCTATGACATCGTTCATGATGTTAAACCCCACATCGTATATATTATTTTCGGTGTCTGACACGGCTAAGTCTAACCCGTGTTTGTAGTACTTTTTTGATATATCATGATCGGTGTTATTGTGTGTGATAAACAATGTGGCACTGATTGGACAGCCGTTCGGGTTGGTATGGCCTCGCATGAATAACAAATCGTAGGTTTCAGCAGAAAATGAATTCAAAACACCGTCAAATCCAAAATACACCATCTGTGGAATTTCGCTCCGGTTCATCGGATGTTTGAATGTACTGCAAAAGCAATCCGGAAGATGGCAGTTGATACATTGTTGACAGGTCTGTGCTTTCACTAGAGTAACTGTCAAAACACTAGCACAAACTATGGAATATACCAACGTAAACCCCATGGTTAGTTCTGTTCCAGATATTTCATGGTGTAGAGTCAGCCTGTATACACTTTTATGATGGTAAGTAACAACGTGGAGACATCAAACAGCACATTGATTAGATAAAGTAGATTAAAGTCAAGTCCAGACGAACTATTCTCTGTGCGTGTCCTAACACATCTGGCGTAGTAGGTACATTTATATAGTATTGCTATTTATAGTGTGCGATTCTTTACACTAGCCACACAGCAAGCCATACTCATTATACAAAAGGCTAATGACAACCAGTAATACCAGTGTGATATGAAATAGGCCGTTTATTCACAAAACGACATAAAGTACAAACATGTATACACTACATTGCTATTTATTTGAGAATATGCCTTAGGGAGTCATGAAATACAAGTCAGTGATCCCTTAAATATATTTCAGCGAATAAGGTAACATTGCCATTTTCCAAAACCATATATATATATTTTTATTTGTAATGTTTTTTCCCCATTAAAAGTCATATAACATCAATATCAGTCATGACATACATCAACGTGTACGTACTATGTAGTGTCAGACATACATCAACATGTACGTACTATGTAGTGTCAGACATACATCAACATGTACGTACTATGTAGTGTCAGACATACATCAATGTGTATGTACTATGTAGTGTCAGACATACATCAATGTGTATGTACTATGTAGTGTCAGACATACATCAATGTGTATGTACTATGTAGTGTCAGACATACATCAACATGTACGTACTATGTAGTGTCAGACATACATCAGTGTGTATGTACTGTGTAGTGTCTGACATACATCAGTGTGTATGTACTATGTAGTGTCAGACAAACATCAATGTGTACGTACTATGTAGTGTCATACATACATCAACGTGTACGTACTATGTAGTGTCAGACATACATCAATGTGTATGTACTATGTAGTGTCAGACAAACATCAGTGTGTATGTACTATGTAGTGTCAGACATACATTAATGTGTATGTACTATGTAGTGTCACACATACATCAATGTGTACGTACCATGTAGTGTCAGACATACATCAACGTGTATGTACTATGTAGTGTCAGACATACATCAACGTGTGTGTACTATGTAGTGTCAGACATATATCAATGTGTGTGTTCTATGTAGTGGGAGATGAACATCAACGTGTATGTACTATGTAGTGTCAGACATACATCAATGTGTATGTACTATGTAGTGTCAGACAAACATCAATGTGTATGTACTATGTAGTGTCAGACATACATCAATGTATATGTATTATGTAGTGTCAGACAAACATCAATGTGTATGTACTATGTAGTGTCAGACATACATCAATGTGTATGTACTATGTAGTGTCAGACATACATCAACGTGTATGTACTATGTAGTGTCAGAAATACATCAACATGTACGTACTATGTAGTGGGAGATGTATATCAAGATTTCTCATTTAAAGATTATATTGGCTTTCAAACAATCGCTATATTGTTCTCAAATTTCCTTGTACATCTACATTAAGAGATCCACAATTGATGACTACATGTGAGTTACTGACAGTACCTTACTTGGCTGATTTCACAGTACCTTACTTGGCTGATTTGACAGTACCTTACTTGGCTGATTTACAATACCTTACTTGGCTGATTTGACAGTACCTTACTTTGCTGATTTGACAGTACCTTACTTGGCTGATTTGACAATACCTTACTTGGCTGATTTGACAGTACCTTACTTGACTGATTTAACAGTACCTTACTTGGCTGATTTGACAGTACCTTACTTGACTGATTTGACAGTACCTTACTTGGCTGATTTGACAAAACCTTACATGGCTAATTTGACAGTACCTTACTTGGCTGATTTGACAGTACCGTACTTGGCTGATTTGCCAGTACCTTACTTGGCTGTTTTGACAGTTTCCTACTTGGCTGATTTGACCGTACCTCACTTGGCTGTTTTGACAATTCCTTACTTGGCTGATGTGACAGTACCTTACTTCGCTGATTTGACAGTAACTTCCTTGGCTGATTTGACCATTCCTTACTTGACTAATTTGACAATACCTTACATGGCTAATTTGACAGTACCTCTCTTGGCTGATTTGACTGTACCTTACTTGGCTGTTTTGACAATTCCTTACTTGACTAATTTGACAATACCTTCCTTGGCTGGTTTGACAATACCTTACTTGTCTGATTTGACAATTCCTTACTTGCCTGATTCGACAGTACCTTACTTTGCTGATTTGACAACACCTTACTTGGCTGATATGACAGTTCCTTACTTGGATGATTTGACAATTTCTTACTGGCCTGATTTGACAATACCTTACTTTGCTGATTTGACAGTAACTTCCTTGGCTGATTTGACACTTCCTTACTTGACTGGTTTGACAATACCTTACTTGACTGATTTGACAATACCTTACTTTGCTGATTTGACAATACCTTCCTTGGCTGGTTTGACAGGACCTGTACTTGGCTGATTTGGCAGTCCCTTGCTTTGCTGATTTGACAGTCCCTTTCTTTGCTGATTTGGCAATCCCTTACTTGGCTGATATGACAGTTCCTTACTTGGCTGATATGACAGTACCTTACTGGGCTGATTTGACAGTTCCTTACTTGGCTGATCTGACAGTACCTTACTTGGGTGATTTGACAGTACCTGTACTTGGCTGATTTGCCAGGACCTGTACTTGGCTGATTTGACCATTCCTTACTTGACTAATTTGACAATACCTTCCTTGGCTGGTTTGACAATACCTTACTTTGCTGATTTGACAGTGCCCTACTTGGCTGATTTGACCGTACCTCACTTGGCTGATATGACAGTCCCTTCCTTGGCTGATTTTACAATTCCTTACTTGGCTGATTTGACTGTACCTTACTTGGCTAATTTGACAGTACCTCTCTTGGCTGATTTGACCGTACCTCACTTGGCTGTTTTGACAATTCCTTACTTGACTAATTTGACAATACCTTACTTTGCTGATTTGACAATGCCTTACTTGGCTGATGTGACAGTACCTTACTTAGCTGATATGACAGTACCTTACTTGTCTGATTTGACAATTCCTTACTTGACTGATTTAACAGTACCTTACTTGGCTGATTTGACAGTACCTTACTTGGCTGATATGACAGTACCTTACTTGGCTGATTTTACAATACCTTACTTGGCTGATTTGACAGTACCTCACTTGGCTGATTTGACAGGACCTGTACTTGGCTGATTTGACAATACCTTACTTGGCTGATTTGACAGTACCTGCACTTGGCTGATTTGACAGTACCCTACTTGGCTGATTTGAAAGTACCTTACTTGGCTGATTTGACAGTACCTCACTTGGCTGATATGACAGTACCTTACTTGGCTGATTTTACAATACCTTACTTGGCTGATTTGACAGTAGCCTACTTGGCTGATTTGACAGCACCTTACTTGGCTGATTTGACAATACCTTACTTGGCTGATTTGAAAGTACCCTACTTGGCTGATTTGACAGTACCCTACTTGGATGATTTGACAGTACCTTACTTGGCTGATTTGACAGTACCTTACTTGGCTGATATGACAGTACCTTACTTGGCTGATTTTACAATACCGTACTTGGCTGATTTGACAGTACCTTACTTGGCTGATTTGACAGTACCTGTACTTGGCTGATTTGACAGTACCCTACTTGGCTGATTTGACAGTATCTTACTTGGCTGATTTGACAATACCTTACTTGGCTGATTTGACAGTACCCTACTTGGCTGATTTGACAGTACCTTACTTGGCTGATTTGACAGTACCTTACTTGGCTGATTTGACAATATCTTACTTGGCTGATTATTCTAATATCTAAGTATATGGATCAACAAACTAGCCATTACAAACCTGTGATATCCCATTTTCTTTTTTCTTGATATTACAGTGAGAATATAATCCTTTCATACATGTACATGTACATAATGTACTCATTGGGATCATTTATGGAGTTATCTCCCCTTACCTTTACATCAATAGGTTTACAGTAGGCAGGTTTATTGTTGTTATTAGCTAGGTCAACCCATTAAAAAAGAGTTGTTTATTTGTCTTGTTACCAATGGACTGTATTGATCTAGATTAACCTTTACCTTTCCTGTAAGTATTACGTAACAGATAACATATGACTGTAAAAATCAAATAAAAATCTAGACACTTGCACTTCCCCACTCTCTCTCTTTCTCCAAAGATGTTTTTGATTCACTGCTCATCTCAGATGACACAGTTTACATGCCTTGCTAATCATTACTACATAATATCGGGTGTACTACATATTAGTGTTATTATTGTACAGATGCACAAACCAGTAGTACATGTAGATAAAGAATATGAAAAAAACTTATCTCACAAACATACATGTGTCCATCATTATTTGTTGAATGTTGTATTTACCAATACACACATACTCGCACATTCACAAAACGTACCTACACACAAATAACAATCTATATCTGCATAGGAATAAAATATAATTCAAATATAGCATGCCATAACAGACTTTTTTCGAGAAACTTTGCATGTCCATATATATTTTTTTCTAGGGTATAGTAAGATTGAATAACCTATTTCAGCTCAATGAATGACAATGTTCCAGTTTTCATTCTCTTATAATATTTGTATTGTTTAGTCTTCAGAATCAATAAATTTAACACCTGATTATGTTTACCAATGTATTAAAAAAGAATTTCACTGGCACTAAATGTAATCGGTAATTTTACTTTTTCATTTATCAATTTCTCCAACATTCCTTCAAGGTTCCTGACATAATTGCACTCAAAAAATAAATTACTGTATATTTCAGTTTCATCATGATAAAATGAGCAATATGGTGTACAATATTCCTTTTGAATAAGAAACCATTTCTTGCCAAAATTCTATTCATAATTCTGTATTGGAACCACTGTAGTTTGGTATCACGTGTAGTGTTGAAAGCAAGCATATTGATTTTGTTCCACCATAATATATTCTTGTCAATTCCCAACTCAGTGTCTCACTTTGTAATACACTTTTGTGTCACTTTCAAATTATCAAAAGATTTATAACAAGTTCTGCAACCTTTTATATCCTTCAATATCATAATGAGGTAGTGTGGAGAGTCAGAAATGTTTTCTGCTAAT